AAATATTGTATATTTATATATAATATATTGTATAAATGATAAACTGTTATGCAAGTGTAATATATGAATGTGGACTCTACCTCTCCACTTTTAACTATTTCCTTGGCAAGCTTCCTTTTTTGACCATTGCATTATCCCTTATCTAACTTTTGGGCCTTCCAATAGTGCGAGTCTGAGCTAAGAAAGCTGTTCTAAACTAGTGGTTTTCGGTACTCTTTTTTCTTTTTAACAGAAACGGCCTCCCCCGCCCCAGCAAATTAAATATCACATAAAAGAAAACGATAACATAGAACTACTTTGACTTAATGGGAAGGAAAGTAGGATAGCCAGAATACTCAGTCATCCCCCTTTGCCAGCATTTGTGGTACCACCAAGGAACTTGGGCATTCTAAACAGTTTCACAACCACTGTTTTGTTTTGTTTTGTTTTGTTTTGTTTTGTTTTGTTTTAGCTGAGCCATCCTGCTACCTGTTGGCAGCTCAGCGGCTGCTCAGCTGGGGCTGGACTCGAACCGCTGTTGCTCAGAGCTCAAACTCTTGAGCGAGCTCTTAACCAACTGAACCACTCGGCCGGCCCCACAACCACTGTTTAAGTGAGCTTTAAATCCATACCTCCATGATATGCAGAAATCTGTCTTCAGAGGGTGGGTGTGTGGCCTGCAAAATCCGCCATATGTGTTGAGTCTCATCCAGAGATACTTCTAGGAGATCTCCAACCATCATAAGTTCTTCCAGCTGGGCTTTAGCCCCAGGTGACAACTCCAACACTGGAGGTTCCAAACTTCGGGGCACCAAAGGGCTCTTCCGAGGTTGTTTCCTTGGGGTGCTAGAACCTTTCCACAAAACAAAACAAAAAATGAAAACTATGGGAAAAATATGGGAAAAAAATGTAATGCTTTCAAAGTAAAAATTTATGGGAATGGTTCCTCCTTCCCCAATTCTTACTTAGATATCTAGATTCACTGCATCAGTATGAAAGTGAAAATGAAATTAGAAACAAATACAGAGCAAAAAGATCTAGAATGCTAATGCCCACTTTAAAAAACTGGTTTAGAGTAAAAAAAACTGGTTCTTTATTGATCCTTGATCCTTTACACTGTGACTGGTGGGGAAGGGGGAAAGAAAGAATCTCCTAACCCATGCTCTCTCCTTTTAGAGGATGCCAAAAGATTAAGCATATAGCTACTCTAGATAAAAAAGTGGGTTTTGTTTTGTTTTCTAATGAACAGGCAATACAGTTAACCCTTGAACAAGGCGGGTTTGAAATGCATGAGTCCACTTATATGTGGATTCAAAAAACTGCATTTAAGTGGACCAAAACAGTTACCCACATATAAGCGGACCTGAACCCGTGCAGTTCAAACCCACCTTGTTCAAGGGACAGCTGTATTTTTAATCCAAAATTGGGAATCTGTATACAGAGCCAACTTAAGTTATATATGAATTGACTGCACAGTGGCTCGGTGCCCCTAACCCCCTCATTCTTCAATGGTCAATTGTAATATGCTGTCCCATAATATTCTGAATTTTACTATGAAGAGATAAACACCATCCATTTTCCAGAGGTGTGACCTAAAGCAGTGTAGTGTGACTTATTTTCACTGGGGGAAAAATGAAAGTGAACACAACAGAGAAAGGAAAGGAAGAACTTTCTAACTAAAGCTTTCCAAAACCAGAACGAGTATTCTTAAAAGGTAGCAAGTTCCTCAACAACTGGTAATGAACAAATACAGGCTAAATGACTACTTCTTGGGGATTTTGTAAAGATGAGAGATGAGACTGCCCTTCTTCCCCATCCTCTGTGGTCCAACCACCCTCGGTGATCCTGGATTCAGCGAGGCTTCGTCTGGCCTCTCCTGCTCCTCGAGGCTGTGACTCCCACCCGCTGCCATGGCATAGCTGGGCCTAAATGAGCACCATCAAAATGAAGTTATTAATTTTATGCATTTTGCTCATTCAAGAAGAGGCCTGAGACTCAAAACCATAGATTCCTGCTTCCAAGACCTCAAGGAAAGGAGGCTGGTGGAGGATGATTTTCACCAGGTGAAATCCCCCAAGTCCTGAGAGGCTTAGACTGTGCTCCACAGTGAGGTGGAGTCTGAGCTCATCAGCACGGTCTATCCCAAGGTGTTACCTCTGTGCAGCTTTCCTCACAAGCTGACAAGTGGTATCTCAAGCTACAGCTATCTCTGTATGTGAAAACAGAATTATTAGAACAAGTTGCAGAATTTACATCTTCAAATAAAAAGCCCATCATAGATACCATAAAGCCAAAAAACAAGGAAATTTTAAGACTTCAAGAAGATAATGAGAAACTGAAGTCAAGGCTGAAGACCACTGAAATACAGGCTATAAATACAGTGGATGAGAAGTCAAAATGAGAAAGAGCACTGCAAGAATACAGCTAGATCAAGGAAATCAAAAGGATTTTTTGCCACTTTAAAGAGTGAGTTTCAGAAGATACTTAATGACAAGACAGAAAAAAACTAGAAGTCCCTGGAGGAGAGTCTAGCGACAACAAAGCCCGACCTACTCAGGGTTCAGGAGCAGCTGAGCATGGCTGAAAACGAATTAGAGAAGAAATTCCAACAACCAACAGCTTAACGAAACACAAAAGAGATTTTTACCAAGAAGAACGACCAAATCAAAGACCTGAGGAAAAGACTGGCAAAATGTGAACTCTAAGATTAAAAACTGAAGATTTACTCGGAAGCTGCCACAGAGTGAAAGTGCAAGCTGTTTCTCATGTTAGGCATGTATTTGGAAGCAGCTTGTTATATTCCCTCTTTATTTTTCTAAGATTTAGATAGTGTTTCTAATATTCAGAACTAGAGCTCTTATTTTCAGCTGCCTAAATGAGAAGAGAGAAATCCTGCTGGTTCTGATTGGTTGTCCCAAACCCTCTGCTGAGTTCTCCAGTCTTAGTTCAGATGCATTGAGAATTCTTTACAGTGAAAAAGATTTTTAGGGCCGGCAGACTGGCACGTTGGTTAAGAGCTGGCTTGGGATGCCAGAGGGTCCCGGTTCGGATCCCACATATGAGGGCCAGTGACACTNGGCAGGTAAACTCAGGATAAGTGTTTTGGCTATTTGGAGCCAGAAAAGGGAACCCGAAAGATGAACTGTTTCTTTGGGCCACCCAGATTTGAGATATTATCCTGTTTGTGATGCCACCCCTGAATCAAGGTAACTCTACTTCTACCTCCAATCCTCTTAATCCAGTCCAATCCCCAGTCATGATAATCCATAGGATAAGAAAGTTACTAATTTATCAATATTTGTTGCCAAGAAAAGTGGTCTCCTGTCTTTTAAAACCTAATTCTGCACTATACTCACTGGTTTCCAGTTTCTAAAAATTTAATCTATCATGGCAAATAAGGAAGACAACATCTTCTCTTTTGTGATTTTGGCAGGAGGTCCATTCCTAGGCCTAGCTCTCCCACAATTCCAAAAAGTATATAATTTTTCTTGAGATATTCACTGGTACACAGATTCTATCTCAGGCTATAGGTTAGATAACAATTTACCCTGATAATCTAGCAGGGATAAAAAGTCCTGTTCTTACTGATATCTTTTTATTATGTTCATCTACTAACAATCAAACTCCAATTGTTTGAAAGCACCCACAGGATCATAATGCAAACTAAAGTTTGGAATATCAACTGAATCCACAGAAAATTTTGACACTACTACAGACTGTGTAGTAGCCCAAAAACTCAAGAACACAGAATTTGGTTAACTGCATGTTAAGTTCTAATAGTCATTTCCCCTTTCACTATTTCTGCGAGATGTACTTAGCAAATCACAAAATAATTAAAAAACTTTACAGCTATGAGCTGTTCAAATATTAACTGATAAGAGATTTAACGTAATAGTACAAATAGGTTACTGGGTTTGGATTTGGGGCTTAAAGAGAAAAAGAAAGAAATATATTAGAGGAACTAATATAAGTTTGACATTTCATGTTTTACTGTATGGTTTCATAATTACACTTAAGAAAAGTATTTGGCATATTTTGTTCATTCCTTAGAGCAGCGGTTCTCAACCTGTGGGTCGCGACCCCTTTGGGGGTCGAACGACTCTTTCACAGGGGTCGCCTAAGACCATCGGAAAACAAAAAGGTCAATTTACATTACGATTCATAACAGTAGCAAAATTACAGTTATAGAGTAGCAACGAAAATAATTTTATGGTTGGGGGTCACCACAACATGAGGAACT